AGGAAAAGTTAAAAAAAAAGTCATTTTGACTTGAGAAATCAAATGTTGCCATTCAACAATTTCAAAGGGTTACGAGATGCTGAAAAGTTTTATTACAATCTAAAGCAAGGAAAATCTCACTCCCTCATTTCTGGCACATCCTGACCTTTTCATGATCAAGCATTCTTCGACCAACCTCTCGAAACACACAAAGAAGTTATACAGGCTTAGCAGTATCACGGATTGTTACATATATTTTATTCTTTTATAGTAAGCATCAGAGGCTCAGGAAAATGTTTGCCTTCGAATAAGGGGTCGCCAGCCTGAAGGCTGAGTAACGCTGCATCACCCTACAAGTAAATCTGCATTAAGGCCAGATCTACCCTGAAAGAGCTTTAAACGTCTGTGCTTCCAAGATGCTTAAGTGATCAAGTGCAAAGAGACACATGCTGCTACCAGCGAGGAGAGTTAAGTAGTTCCAATACACTGCAATTGCTCTCCAAGAATCCGAAGAATGTGAATAGCAAAGGCAGGAGAGTGGCTGGGGGTGGGACAAGGAAGAAAGGGGATGAAATGGAGTAGAGGGAACAGAGGCTGAGTTGAAGCTGGGGAACATTCTCCGCCCATGGAAAAAGGAGCCCCGGCTCCTGGAATGTTTAGAACTAGGTCAGAGAGAGGATTGTACTTAGGAAGCACGCTGCCCTGATTCCCGGTGGGCTGGATTATATAAACCAATTGTCTATTTCAATCTTTGGTGGAGGACGATTAACAGAGTCTAAATTACCATCATTTGTATAACAGTTGTGCCCAGCCATCAACCGGGAGCCCATTACGCTAGGGGCTGTACAGGTGTATTACGGTAGCACCTAGGAGCCCCAATTACAGACACCATGGTGCTAGATGCTACACAAACACACAAAAAAAGACGGTCCCCTGACCCAAGAGGTTTACAATCCTAATGGATATAGCATGCCTCCTTTTCCACCCTAAACCTCTGTATAGCATTGTTGCAAGGCTGTTGTCAGCTGCCCTGTCTCGCCCCAGACATGGCTGCATTTCAGAGATGGTTAGTCTCGCATACCACAACAATGGACTCATTTTAGAGTTCAGAGAGGGGAGAGTCAGATTAAACTACGCTGATCTAAACCCACCCCGTTCCTGATGCTAATCTCAGCCTGCTCCACCTCAGACTGGGGGGCAAACGGCTCCACCGGACCGACAGCAGCCTCGTCCCGAAGCTGCGCCGAACTTACCTGCGCTGTTGGCCTCCGACTCCACGATGTGGATCTCGGTGCAGTCGGCCAGCGAGTGCTCCAGGCACAGCTGCAGGAAGCGGGCTTGGGTGCGAGTGACGCGCTTGAGGAGGGAGAGCAGAGCCACCGTCTGCTCACATTCATTCCAGCCTTTGAACCAGCCGGCCAGGATTCCCACCTGATCCCGGAACATCATGGTGGCAGGCGCGTCAACGTGGCTCGGCAGCGACACGCCCAAGGCTGGGGGAGGGGAGGGAAAGGGGTCAGGGGAGAGGGGGGAGCAAGGGAAACCCCCTCACATGGTTTCAGCTTTAAGTCCTACGGTTTGGCCCGGGGGTGGAGGAGGGCACGACCTGGAATGCAAATCCTGCTGCCAGTGAAGCTGGGATCACATGGGGGGACTGTCCCAAAAGATCTTTCTCCGTCTAGATCCTTTTGCAGGGCTCTCCTCTAAGCAGACTGCCTTGGAGATCCCTGCAAGGAAAAAGAAATACGAGATCGATTAAGAAAGATTGGCCACCCCGGAGCACAGCCTGCGTTGTTCTATAACCAGGTCTAAGGCCTCTCTTGCTTTACAGCAGCAGACAGGTGGGACGATTACACATCCAAACAGGCAACAGACTGTATCTTGAGCCCAACGGAAAGCCCACCTGCGGAACTCATCGCCACAGGAGATCAGAGAGAGTCAACTATTGCATCTGGACAGCTTTATGACCAGTTATGTTGGTGCAAATCAGACCTCAGGTGGGAGAGATGAATTCACTTTTCTTCCCTGTTTCCCCCACGTACGGTATTGTGCAATTCAGATTCCAAGGCTAAAAGGGACCATTGTGATCACCTAGTTTGACCTCTGGATAACACCAGCCAGAGACCTGCCCAAAATAATTCCTAGAGCAGAGCTTTCAGAAAAACCTCTAGTCTTGATATAAACATGGTCACTGATGGAGAATCCACGACCACCATTGGAACAATATCCCAAGGGTCAACTACCCTCGCTGTTAAAAATTTATGCCTGATTTCCAATCTCAAGTTGTCTAGCTTCAACTTCCAGCCACTGGATTGCGTTAGACCTTTGTCTGCTAGACCAAAGAGCCCACTGTTAAATATTTGTTCCCCGCATAGGTATTTATAGACTGTTAAGCTAAAGGGGTGACTTGATCCCAAAGAGAAAGTTACTAGATTGAGTTGGCTGGATGAGAAGGGGATTCACCTTAAACATCAGGCACTGGATGTTGGTAGAGCCCGGACAGCGGACAAGGTAGACCAATTGTAAAGCCTCAAAAGGGAGCATTTTCAGGGCATGCGTTAGGACTGATATTCTATAAGGACCTACAGCTACTTTTAACTTTTGCTTTTAAACCAACAAGATTTTGCGTCACCGGCGTCCCTGGAGATTCACCTGCTCCCGGCACGCAAGCACAATACCAGGATCAGGACTGCACAAGAGAGGCAGAGATAAGAGAGGAGAGGGACAGCAGTAAGGGGGCTGAAAAGGAAACTGGCTTTCACCGCCTATTCAGCAAACAATTCAAGACTCATTTTCTCCTACCACGACACTCCCCCATTAACTCTCTGGTTTAGCAGACGGGGATCCGGGGCACAAATCAGCGTCACAAGGGGAACTTAACAAGCCTTTTGTTGCAGTTTCTTTCTAATCCAGAGGGGCCTAGCTAGGAACCCAAAATTCCTTGGCCCTTTTTGCTCCAAGAGGGGATTAACTAGATTGTGGAGAAAGAACTCTCTCTTAGCAGGATGTGTCTCCGTGTGTGTGTGTGTGGTGGGGGGGAGGTTGGTTCTCTCAAAGGCAGGGAAGACGCACACTAGCTCCAGTGGTGGTGTGTGTGTGTGTGTGTGTGTGTGTGTGACATTAGCTCTGCGGCACAGCCATTCTGCAGCTACAGCACTTCAGAACTGACAATGCTGAACACTGAAGGCTGTAAGAGAAAGAGAAGCAGCTTTGGCTAAGTGGAAGGACAACAGGTGCTTCATATTCCAGCCACGTAACTGTCTCCGATTTTTTTTCCCCTTCTCATAGCCTAACGGGTGTGGAATTCTCACACAAGACATCTTGAACTCCTGAGCTACCGCGACCTCCGACTTTCCTGTGTTGTTTGCACACCTCGATTTTCTGTCTGAAGCTATGGCTTTCTGAAGCTCAACAAAGCATTCAGACAGCACCCTGCGCTATGTCTAAGGGTTTATAGACTGTGTCTGCACCACGGAAGGCATGTTTGCTGGCTCTGTCTGCAATGGGATTAGCTCTGCCTCGATGTATTTAAAAAACAAAAGGAAAAGCAGAGATGCTCTTCCAACAGAGTCTAGGGGTGATGGACAGAGACCAACTGTTGGAGAGAGACGTCTGGTTTCCTGATTGGGCCGTTGAAACGGCTGGACCGTGCTCCGACTTGGCAAGGCAGGACATACCATACCAAGAATGCAGCCCTTGGGAATCAGCCAAGGCAACTTGCAGCCTGCCCCCTCTCTTTAATATGGACAAGTCCCAGTGTACAATGCTGCTACCTTGATCACAGTGAGTAGCACGGCCTAGTGCTCAGAGCAAAGGATCAGAACTCCCACGTCTTCATCCTAGCTCTGCTACGGACGCCTTGTGTTCGTTGGCCATTCCATAGCGCTTCTCAGCACCGCTGGGGCGTTAGCCCCAGCGTCACAGCCTGGATTCCAGCTGCTCCGGCCATTTCAACGGGATGCCTCTCTCTAAACCCCCACCCCAACCGCTGAGACCCTGCTGTGTGAAAGCCAGGTACGGTAGTAATAAATAAGTCATAAATCCCAGCTCTTTTGTAGTGCTTTTCATTGGCAGACATCAGAGACCTTTACAAAGTAGCACTATCCCCATTTTACAGATGGGGAAACTGAGGCATGGAGCCAAAGGCTAGGCAGCGGGAGAGATGGGACTAGAACCCAGGAGTCCTGATTCCCCATCAGCTGAGTTGAGTCACCCTTATGCCGCACTCTCTCCATTTGCCTCCTCATTCAGTGCAGGGCCAAACTCAACGTTCTTGTCGGGCTGTCTCAGACACTGCCATGCTCAGCACAGGCACGGGAATTAGGCTCAGAGACTAGGACCACCTGTCACCTGGCCTCCTTTGGATCCTGGAGGAAGCATGGCCCAGTGGTTAGAGCGCCAACTTGGCACTCAGGAGACCCGGGTTCAATTCCCTGCTCTGCTAGAGTCTCTGTGCGACCGTGGGGCAAGTCACGTAGTCTGTACAGCTGAGGAAACTGAGGCAGCAATGGGAGACAACCAATATCTAGCACTTTTCCTCACTCGATCTCAAAATGCTTCAAATGAGGTCAGTCCCATTATTCCCATCTACAGATGGGGAAACTGAGGCAGAGAGAGGACGTGACTTATCCAAGGCCACCCAACAGAACCAGGCCGCGAATCCCAGTCCAGGACTGTATCATGCTAGGCCTTCCCTCACAGGTGTGTTAGGAGGATAAATACCCTAAAGATTGTGAGGCATTCAGATACGGATGTAAGATAGGTCAGTTTCCTCAGGCTGTGATTACAGACAGACGCAGAGACAACGACCTTATAAAAATAAGAGCAACCAGATCGCACTTCTTTGGAGGAGCAAATCCCTTTCCACGGGTACTCAGCACCTCTATATTGCGCCAGTCTCTGCAGCAATCTAAGATAATCAATATATCTTGGATCTATACAAAGGAATCTACTGACCCTGTTAGTGTAGGACCTCAGTTTCTCAATCTAATATTTATGCCCTAAAGAAGAACTCAATTTTATTTTTCTATAAATTTCAACAGATTATAAAGGTTTTATTTTTTTAAAGCATCCGCTGCCCCAATTTTTATCTATTTAAATTGTCACCATTTGGGGAAATTGGAAATGTGGGATCAGACAAATATTTAATGCCAGTCGATGCTGAGATCCAAAAAGCCAAAGGTTTAGAAACCACTGAAACACAAACTGTCAACATCACATGTCAAAACATTCAAAGGTAAATAGCCTTAGATCAACAAATCCTACCATTTTTTTTTAAACTATTCTTTCGCTTGTGACGAGCCTAATTCAAAAGCCTTGATCACTGGATTTTGACTCTAATAAGTTAGGCAAAGTAAGAAAAATGCTGCCTGCCAATTTCGAGCATCAGTGGAAGATGTTTTTCCTGGGTTTGGGAGTGCAGTGAAATCGACGTTTACCGCTAAAAATCTAATCCCTCCAAGCCTGCCTATGAGTGAAGTGCTATTATCCCCACGCACCAATGGGGAAACTGAGGCACAGAGGGGCTAACTGACACAAAGTCACACAGGGAGTCTGTGGGGGAGGTAGGACTTGAACGCCCAAGTCCTGGGCTAATGCACTAAGTGGAAGCTGCACCTGGACCCTGTTGAATGAAGCATCCTTTGTCCCAGTGTTTTCCCCTCTGCCCGTTGGGCTGGGTGCCGTTTCCTGTCAGCATCGCTGGAGGCAGCCAGGTTACAATAGCGTCCTGTGCACTGCTGTCCACGTGCGCTAGCCACAGCCAAGCTGAGGGATGGGGATGGCAGTGAAGGGAGAAGCAGCAATTTTTAAAGCACGCTGCTGTCAAACCCTTCTGAAAAGGCGTGTGTGTGAAGAGCGACGGACGGGAAGCTGCTGTCTGGGTCTCTCCCCACTGGACGCTGTCATTAGAGCCAAACTAAGCAGGCTCCCGGAGGTAAGGAGACAGGAGCGGTCTGCTGGAGCGGTGACGCAGCCCGCTGTAATTACACCTTAGGAGGGAGTGCTGGCCACCAGCGGCTTAAGCTACAGAGGAGACCCGGGAGACACAAGCAGCGATGGATGTCACGCAGCTGAGCAGACCGATGTGCAGCACATGCCACATCCCCACTGGAGGAGGCCGGCGGTTTGCATTTCTACAGCCCCCCGAGACGCGGCCAGCCTGAGAGGTGCCAACCCCCAGCCGCTCCCGCTGGAAATCCAGACCTCCTGACCCACCCGCGCCTGTCTCAGGCTGCTCCTAAGGGGGCCCCCCCAGTTAGCATCAGAGGCAGCAGGGGGTTCAGTGATGCGGACACGTCCCATTGGGAATTAGCCTGGCACCCAGCCACCGCCACGGCAGCCGGTTTGGGGTAGTCCTGGACTGGATCAGAACCAGCGTTCTAGAGAGTTGAGGCTTCGGTATCGCATCCCTCCAGCTATCCGATTCCTGAGTCTGACCCTCAAATATTAACCCGGTGCAAGCTTCCCCACCGGCTTTAGTTCCTCGGTCGCAACTTAGTTCCCAGGCTGGCACCGAGAAGAGGGAGGAATTTCACACCGGCTTCTGTTATCCCCGCCTGAAGATCTATTATCTATGAGCTGGCAACTCCCGCCATTGACCGACTAGTCACCATCTGGAAATCCGTTCTACCGCCCTCCACCTCCTGCTTTGAGAAGTTACTATTATACCACCTAGCTCTTTTCATCTGTAGACCACAAAGTATTTTAGAGCATTGTGCCTCCGTTT